GACCAGTTAGATGTTCTGGACATAGAATTTCAAAAATGCATATCATAGCTATATTCTGCATGTAGTAGGTAACACGATTTGCCGTACTTCCCCTTTCATTCAAGAATGAGATACAGCTTCAAAAAATAATCCTTCGGTATATATCTACTGCTATTTAGAAAAATCGTTCTATATCACCTCCACTCGAAATTGTTCAAAGTTAATGTTCAAATAACTGCAGACTTCATGCGAACATCGCGGAAAGCCACATATGCATCTGTCGTCTGGGACATGGCTTTTCTAGTGTAACGTGAAAAAAAAAACACGAAGTCTAACAATCCACTTTGACATAATTAACTCGTAGTTAGTAGATTACTTTACATTCCTTTGCTATTATCACATACCTTTGCATATTGGGTTATCTACAATGAAGCGCTCACCTCTCACATCTCTTCACCTTACTTATCAACTGAAATTTTTTTGTTTGTTGCGGTTTTTTCGTATTTTTGTAACTTAGTTGATGTACTTCTTAGAACTAGCCTTACCAGTAAACATTTGAAGGTTCCTCTCTTCAACTGTAGGTTAAGAATAAAGTATTGGAAATAACGGATTTTCAACTACACCCTCAGTAAGATTTACCGCGTGAATTGGTAATGTAACAATGTTAAAACGATAATTAGTAGCAAGGTGTTAAATTTAGAGAGCATTTGAAATTACCCTCAATCAGCCAGTTGAAGTGCTGAACAAAATACCAGTTTGGTGAGCAAATGCCCGCACGCATTCTTTAAGGTTTACTTCAGAGTTCTGAGAACAAGCGTGATATGTTGGATGTTACTCTGGGAGAATTAGATCATCCCTGATCTACATACACCTTTTCGTGTTTTAAGGTATTACTGTAACTGTTATTGAGTTGAATTGTTATAATTTTATGTAGAACATCGTGGAACTTATACAAAGCATATATTGAATGTACGCTCATTTTCTCTCGGTTTACTCGTAGACATATAAGGGGTACTAAGAGAGAACAAATCTTAGAAAGAAACTATTCAGCAGATGGCTACTGATACACAAAAAGAGAAGAAGTTTGAGAGGAAAAAAGAAAAACTAAAGCTAACAATGAAACAGGCATAAAAGCCATTTAAATTCCCAGCCAATAAGGAGTTCCCGCCAGACGTTCCTGCTGGGACCTGAGCAGTGATCGAATAGTGGCTTCAATGAGTGGAAGATATGTATCAACCTAGCCAGGATCAAAGAGAGAGGATCGACTAGTAGACTTTTTCACTTTCCTTTCTTCAGAACCCGATCTGTGCTGGCAAAAATAAGGACTCATCCAAGTTATATCAAAATATATGCTTCTCCTTTTGATGGAGGCCTTCCTCATTTAGTTTATTTTCAATTATACTCATAGAAAAGTGGACAAACAACTTGGTTCAAAAATCTTGTATTACCCATTTTGAGACCTCTGTATAAAGCTTGAGATCCGATGTCAAAAATCTCATAGTGAAAAGTGAGATTTTGGTGTAATTGGTGGAGATTTCATATCCTTCCTATATCGTAATGACTTACTAAATGTCCCTTAGTTACAATATATATATATAT